TCTTACAGAGCTTACATGTGTTTGCTGTTGTTTGTGTCAATGACATGCTCTGAGTTGTTCCAGTTTAAAGAATGAATATGGTGTGTCATTTGTGGCCCTCGAGCCTCATAATGAGACTATTGTGTCTTCTCATGTTTTAAAATTTAGATTGTATATTTACTAAATTAAATATATTTTAACAGTGAAACAAGGCTGATGGGTAAAAAATAAAATGCTTTGCACCAGAGATAGATGTAGAAATGATGGTCCCCAGAAACAAAGAGAGAGCGTCATCTGTCACCTACAGTCTCTCTCCCTAAAACCTTCAAACCATGTCAGAAATCTAGGGGTACTACTGGACTCAGACTTAAATTTTAATAGCCACATCAAATCAGTAACATCAGCAGCTTTTTACCATCTAATAAACATTGCCAGGATCAAAAACATAGTGTCTAAAGCAGACTTGGAGATTCTTATCCATGCATTTGTCTCCAGTAGGTTTATTTATACTATGATTTAACACATTTCTTTGAATGTGTAACTTTATTGATCTCACAATAGAGAAATGTACATGTCATATTTGGCATGGATAGAGTCACTCAGATTGTGCAAAAGACAGAAGTGTGCACACAGGTTAATATTATAGTCTGCGGGATATAATTATGTACAATAAAAAGTTGGCAATATACAGTATATAAAAAACTGGATTTATAGATGGCATAGCATCTTCGTAAATTGGAAAGAGAAAAATGGGCACATGATGTCAAGGGCTTCCTATAGGGACCCAATATTTTCTGCAAAAGGGAGATGTTACTGTAGAAGTTCTAACTTTTTGGAGAGTAGGAGGCTGCTCTACCAATACGTAGGATTTTCAAACGACTGCTTTGCTTTAACACATAGATCATTGACGCTCTTATGCAGCCCATTATCAGTACAGCTATAACTGCCAAACATATTCTACATCATATGATTCCTCTTTGTATGCCTTACCATTCTTATCCTGTCCTCTTTGATCTGTTCTGGAAATATATAATGTGACTGACAAAAAGAAGCGCACAAAATCTGTAACAAATGTGACACAACTTTATTTCAATGCGTCTTAAGGAAAGATTTCAGAGCAGCGAGTGGGAGGGACAGCCGTGTGTGAAGAAAACAGCCTGAAAAGTTTTTTGGTTTTTTTTCCCCGCGTATGGCTTTCCTGTTTCCCACATAAGTTATTGGTTTCACTTTGCCTTTTTACAAGACAAATGAAACCTGGGAGTTATTTTCTTATTGTCTCGGTAAGTGTTAAATAACATTGAATTGGGCCATGAATCTGTCTTGTTTAGAAAGGATAGAAATGCAAAGATAAAGGTGTATTTATACTATACTTTACTGAGCTATTTAAAATGGACAGACTCGAGAGATAGAGAATACATGAATGTGTTAATTGAGAAAAGTTTGCCACTTTATATTAACAAATCAGTAGGATAAATGTGGAACGGGATCTCACTACCCCAGAGCCTAGACCCGCACTGATGGAGACATGAAATCCAGAAGGGAATAGGGCTGAAAGATGAGTGGTGATGAAAGGACCATGGAAAGCACCTGCTGGGCTGTGATATTAGGGCGATGGGGAGGCCTGATGAAGGAGGAGAGTTCACGTGGGCGCTGACTTTGTTAGAGAGGGTGATGAAAGACATAAAAAGGGAAAAGAACATTGAGGTCTGAGAAAAGTCTTTCCGTAGTCTTAACTTACATTTTAGCTCCAATTGTTGAAGAAGTTGCCATGTGCTATGTGTGGTCTGGGGGAACATGGACTGGACCCAGAAGGAGAATTTAGTCCAGCACATAACAACATCTGTAGTTTGGAGGAGTGGATCCCTCTCTCACTTTGGGCCTTCAAAGTTTTTTCACTTTTTATATTAAGAGTTTTGTGAGGTCTAACTAAAAGGACAGTGGTGATGACTCAACAGTTATCAACACTTATGGACATTGGTCATCTGCCCCTTATGAACCAATACCAATGTGTTTTATTTCTTGTGTTTGAATTAAAAAAAATGTATCATTAAATTATATTTTTTTATATTCTTGCAAAAGGGTTAGGGTTAGGGTTAGGGATAGGCATTTATAGGCAATCTGGAAATGGCTTTGCTTCCAACACGATTTTCATTTCTGTCGGTTTCACAGGTGTCTTACAGAGCTTACATGTGTTTGCTGTTGTTTGTGTCAATGACATGCTCTGAGTTGTTCCAGTTTAAAGAATGAATATGGTGTGTCATTTGTGGCCCTCGAGCCTCATAATGAGACTATTGTGTCTTCTCATGTTTTAAAATTTAGATTGTATATTTACTAAATTAAATATATTTTAACAGTGAAACAAGGCTGATGGGTAAAAAATAAAATGCTTTGCACCAGAGATAGATGTAGAAATGATGGTCCCCAGAAACAAAGAGAGAGCGTCATCTGTCACCTACAGTCTCTCTCCCTAAAACCTTCAAACCATGTCAGAAATCTAGGGGTACTACTGGACTCAGACTTAAATTTTAATAGCCACATCAAATCAGTAACATCAGCAGCTTTTTACCATCTAATAAACATTGCCAGGATCAAAAACATAGTGTCTAAAGCAGACTTGGAGATTCTTATCCATGCATTTGTCTCCAGTAGGTTTATTTATACTATGATTTAACACATTTCTTTGAATGTGTAAAATTGCATAAATGTACTCCATATTCTGAACGATCCACAAGAAGCATGCTAGAGACATAGAGATGCAATACAATCTAAAAAAGAATATCAGTTTAATGCAGCTGAAGCGGAGGTTCAGGATGGTAGACTACCTACGTTATCACACCAGGCTTGACCACGCCTTACTCAGCCTGTTTTATGGTGCGTTCAGACCAAACGCGATTTCTGCGGCCAAAGCGGCGGGTCTACATTGACACAACATGGGGGACGCGCGCCAAGGAGCGGCAAGAGATCACGCGGCGCGAATTCGAGCGTTTCGCGCGATTCGCGCGGCGAGTTTTGAGATGTCAAGCGTTTTGAGATGTCAAGCGTTTTGAGATGTCAAGCGTTTTGACGCGCGTTTCGCGCGATTCGCGCTTCCAACACGGCCGCCGCTAGAGTTGAACAATGTTGAACTTTTTGGGAGAATTCGCGTGTGCCGACCAATCAGGAGCTTTCTCCTCCAGTGACGTAGTGACGCATTTCACTTCCGGGAAAACACTAGTAGATGACAGCTATGGAGGACACATTAATTGCTCAGGTCGGTGCTCATTCAGAGCTATATAACACTGCGGACCACAGCTACCGGGGACCGAAATAAAAAGGAGCTTGCTTGGAGGAGGGTTAGCGAGGTGGTTGGTGTCTCGGGTAAGTTATTTTAACTTTTCACAGTTGTAAATATTTCCCCCGCGAAAAAAACACACTTCTCCACAACTTCTGGGGAGACTTCCAGGTGACGGCGAAACACTCTCCACTGCGCAGACCAAATCCCAAATGCATCCTCCACCACTAACCGGGCCCGGGAGAGGCTGTAGTTGAAGGTGCGCTGCTCTGGGGTAAGGCCACCACGTCCAGGGAAAGGGCGCATTAAATTGCGGCGCAGTGGAAAGGCCTCATCTGCCACGAACACATGGGGCTGGGGTCCTCTGTGGTCAGCTCCAGGTATGCACTGGTCAGGAGGCAGGTCGAGTGTGCCCTCGCGCAGAGCCTCACCAAAGGCAGAGTTGGCCATGATGCCTCCATCGCTGGATCTGCCGTACCCTCCCACATCAATCACCCTGAACCTGTACTGGGCATCCACTACAGCCAGGAGCACAAGGGAATGGTGCCCCTTGTAATTAAAAAACATGGACCCAGAGTTGGGGGGTGCCTTCACAGCCACATGCTTCCCATCAATGGCCCCACAGCACAGAGGGAAGTTCCATCGGACCTCAAAGTCTTGCGCTATGGACCCCCACTCCTCTGCTCCAGGCACAGCCATGAACTCCTCCACGAGGCAGTCCCAGATGGCTGCCACCACATCTGGGACGAGCATGGAGACGGTGGATATGCCCACTCTGAAGCTCCCCGCAATGGTCCTGTAGGAGTCCCCAGTGGCAAGAAACCTGCAATTACAAAATGATATGAACATATTTATCACAATTACATTCATAAAAATCACGTGACAAAACTTGTGTAGCATAAAATACGTTAAACTAGTAGACTGTAAACATCATAGACAGTAATCATAGACACCATATTGTTGCATAATACTGTTTTCTGAGCTATTACATTGTGGATTGTGATTGAAAAATGACACACTTTGTAAGTATTTAGGAATTCTGAATGGGGTAAAAAACACTAACCGCAGACAGATGGACAGGCGCTCTTCAGCTGGAATAGAGCGCCTGTAGTTGGTGTCCTGGTAGGAGATCCTAGCGCCAATGCGGGTCAGTAGGTCGTCAAACTGGGCAGGGAGAGACGAAAGTACCGCTGAAAGCGACCCTCATCCGAGCGCAGCTCCCGGAGCAAATGGTGAAACTCACCAAACTCCAACCGTCTACGGACTATCTGATGAATCCAGACACGTCGTCGATTCGCCCTTTGACGACGTTGTCTGGCTTTATTTATCAGATAGAGCCAAGCAACTCCTTCGCTGACATCCATGTTGGGAAACTACAGGCAAAAGAGACAAGCCCCGCCCCTAAACGCTCTCAACGCTCTGTGACAGCGGCCGCCCTCTAGTGTCCTGGCCGCGCGGCCAAGTTTCTCTGTGACAGCGGCTGCCACAATTTGTCACAAGCGGCTCAAGCCGCGCGATAGACGCGATTTGGCCGCAGAAATTGCGTTTGGTCTGAACGCAGCATAAATCAACTCCCCGCAGCCGTGTCAATCAAGCCAGCGTTTAAGAGAACAGCAGAGCACAGCTCACCAAACGGACTTCAAGCTGCAACGGGTTGCTCTTCGTCACTTTGTTTACTCACGCCTCGCACATTGTTCGTCCTGCATGGTCGCGGCTCCTCTTCCACATCACATGTTGGGGGCTGTGCGCCATGGTCGCTGTGTATCCACCGCGGCTCACCGCGGGTCCTCTCCTGCGGACTCGCTGCCGCTCGTCTCCCCGTGGCCGCTGCTGCTCGCGGCCAGGCGTTACTCCGCGCACCCTGCCGCTTCCATACCGGGAACGGGACTTCTGTCTGCCTGCCTGCCAGTGTCGGTTTCGTTGTTTTCCGCACTACCATGAACTGTACTCAACTGCGGCGTGTCAGTTATTCCCGGCGAATTGGCTCGCAGGCTGTGTTTTTACCCGATGCATTGCTCTTCAGGCTGTTCATTTTACCATCTGCACTGGCATTTAGACCGTCCGTTTTCACCATGGACCGCACATTTTAATCACTGTGTTGGCCTTCTGGCTGTCCGTTTTACTCATGGGCTGAACATTCTACACACTGCAGTGACCTCCAGGCTGTCCGTTTTACTATGGACTGAACATTTACCCACTGCATTGACCTTCAGGCTGTCAGTTGTAACCATGGACTATAACATTTGTCGTCTGCATTGGCCTTCGCTCTGTCTAATTGACCGTGGACTGTAAGTTTTGCCCACTGCATTGCTTCCGGGCTGTCCGTGTCTGATAAGCTGCTCTGATTGGTCGGAGCGCGGCCGAGCCCCTCTGTGCTGTTTGTTTGCCCATTGCTTTGGCCTTACGCCACACTTCAACGCCACACTTCAACGCCACACTTCGACGCCACCACGCTTCGACGCCACCACGCTTCGACAACCCCACGCTTCGACGGCCCCACGCTTCGACGGCCCCACGTTTCGACGGCCCAACGCTTCGACGACGCCACGCTTCGACAACGCCACGCTTCGACGGCCCCACGCTTCGACGGCCCCACGCTTCAACGGCCCCACGCTTCGACGGCCCCACGCTTCGACGGCCCCACGCTTCAACGGCCCCACGCTTCGACGGCCCCACGCTTCGACGGCCCCACGCTTCGACGGCCCCACGCTTCGACGACGCCACGCTTCGACAACGCCACGCTTCGACAACGCCACGCTTCGACGACGCCACGCTTCAACGACGCCACGCTTCGACGACGCCACGCTTCAACGGCCCCACGTGGGTGGCCCCACGCTTCGACTACGCCACGTAGGTGGCCCCACGCTTCGACGACGCCACGTGGGTGGCCCCACGCTTCGACGACGCCACGTGGGTGGCCTCACGCTTCAACGACGCCATGTGGGTGGCCCCACGCTTCGACGCCACGTGGGTGGCCCCACGCTTCGACGCCATGTGGGTGACGCCACGTGGGTGGCCCCACGCTTCGACAACGCCACGTCGGTGGCCCCACGCTTCGACGACGCCACGTCGGTGGCCGCACGCTTTGACGACGCCACGTCGGTGGCCGCACGCTTCGACGACGCCACGTCGGTGGCCGCACGCTTCGACGACGCCACGTCGGTGGCCGCACGCTTCGACGACGCCACGTCGGTGGCCGCACGCTTCGACGACGCCACGTCGGTGGCCGCACGCTTCGACGACGCCACGTCGGTGGCCCCACGCTTCGACGACGCCACGTCGGTGGCCGCACGCTTCGACGACGCCACGTCGGTGGCCGCACGCTTTGACGACGCCACGTCGGTGGCCGCACGCTTCGACTCCTCCTCCACGCTTCGACTCCTCCTCCACGCTTCGACTCCTCCTCCACGCTTCGACTCCTCCTCCACGGCGCACGCCTCGACGGCGCACGCCTCGACGCCGCACGCCTCGACGGCGGCCGCACGCCTTGACGGCGGCCGCACGCTTCATCGCAGCACGTCGGCGGCCGCACGCTTCATCGCAGCACGTCGGCGGCCGCATGCTTCATCGCAGCACGTCGGCGGCCGCACGCTTCATCGCAGCACGTCGGCGGCCGCATGCTTTATCGCAGCACGTCGGCGGCCGCACGCTTCATCGCAGCACGTCGGCGGCCGCACGCTTCATCGCAACTCGTCGGCGGCCGCACGCTTCATCGCAGCTCGTCGGCGGCCGCACGCTTCATCGCAGCTCGTCGGCGGCCGCACGCTTCATCGCAGCACGTCGGCGGCCGCACGCTTCATCGCAGCACGTCGGCGGCCGCACGCTTCATCACCGTACGTCGGTCGGCGCACGCTTCTACGCCGGTGGCCGCTGTTTGACGCCATGTCGGTGTCCGCCTCCTGCCGCATTCTCGACGCCACGCTTCGACGCATTCGCGTGCTCTCATCCATTCATCGTGAAACCAGTGTCGACCATGGACACGCGTTCCCTATTGGTGGGTGAACAATCCAACGCTTGGAGAGTTCTGCTTCACAATGACTGGAAGAGCCGGCATCAAAGGATCAGGTCAGTGGTCTGACTGAAGACGTGGTCTGACACTGCCCGTTGGTCCTTTTCACTCGAGTGATAGTGGTTCGAGGTTTCTCTTTTCAGCTTCGCAGGAACGTGATGCTGCAACGCCGCACCAAAGCTCTGCTACAACGCCGCGACGGTGGCCTGCTGCAAAGCTGGCCTGCTAAGACTGCATGAGTACTGTTCGGCGTGGCCTTCAAACCTGGCTGACTATCTTCCCCAGGCCGCACTCATTGGATTTTGGTGTGCAACACTGCCCGCCACGGTTTGCGTGCACTCTGAGTGGCTGTAGGCGGTGCTCCTTCTCATGTTCCCCAGGCATATTCTCTCCTGTCTCCTGGTGCGGCTCCTGCCGCCGGGCCTGTCTCACGCTTCGCCTTACCTGAAGCACCCTGGCCCTCATTCTGACCGGGCCCTTGTGCGTTGGTTTTTGGGGGTCCAGAGATCTCTTATCGAACATCAATCTTCCTGGGTAAGTGTACTTCATGAATCTCATTTTCACCTTCTAGTCTCCCCAAGTGGAATCATGTTCGAATATCAGCGCTCTAAACACCAGCAGTTCATCTTTCATTCAGCATTCTCCTTTCCCTCTCACTGCACACTCTCAGTCTCTGGACATCTGCATCGCGGGTACTGCTGTCACTGCCTCATCTACATCGGCATTAAATACATTCTCTAAAATCCACTTCGAGTCACACTGCTCCACCCTCATAAGAAGATCCTTAAAGGAGTATTGGCAATGGTCCTTGTTCTGTAGTTTAGGTCCTGGACGACTAGCCTGTTTGTCCGTGGAGTGGATCCCTCGCTCATGTAGGGTCTTCCGAAGGTTTCTCACTTTTTTCCCCACGGGGTTTTGTGAGTTTTCCTTGCCATGCAGGAGGGTCTGGACAGTTAGTGTCCAACTAGAAGGCCCGTGGTGATGATCCAGGATACTTTACATTCTACAACATGTATGGACATTTTATCAACATTCATAGACTATAATTACTCCTTAAACAATCCCTTGACGACCCCCTGGTCTTAACAAATTCAAAACCTGCGCTCCCTGCATGTAACCTCTCTTCCTTTCTCTACATCCGCCACTCCTTCCGGATAGGAGCAGCCACTTGGGCTGCTGCCCTGGGACTCCCTCAATCATCTCTCCAGGAGCTCGGTCCCTGGTTCTCTACCACATTCATCCGTTCTGGCAGCCCAGCGCCTCCTCTCATATAAGTACGTATGCATCTCCTGGTGGTGGCAACTCCTCATTCCAGCATGCCGCGCACTCGAGCCGAGCTCGTGCGCGTGCCAACGCCTAGCGCTAGAGCCGAGCTCGCGCACGGACATTACGCCGCGCACTTGAGCCGAGCTCGTGCGCGTGCCAACGCCTAGCGCTAGAGCCGAGCTCGCGCACGGAAACAGTCACTCACACCATGCGCCTTCCATAAACGCAGCAACCAAGTCGTGGCAAACGCATCGCTAGCCAAGCTCTCTTTTTGGGGATCATGATCTGCACCCAGGCGCAGATCTCTTCAGAGCACGGCCACAGCCGGGGCCTAAGCTCCAAACCAATAAACAAACTCAATCCATAAAATAAACAACTCTTAAACGCATCTCGTCTCTTATAGTCTCTCCAGGTTGAAATGCAGCTGAAGCGGAGGTTCAGGATGGTAGACTACCTACGTTATCACACCAGGCTTGACCACGCCTTACTCAGCCTGTCTTAATCAACTCCCCGCAGCCGTGTCAATCAAGCCAGCGTTTAAGAGAACAGCAGAGCACAGCTCACCAAACGGACTTCAAGCTGCAACCACCTCCTCCCCACCTCCGCCTCAGGATTTCTTCACTCTCACATTCACCTTGCCTTGTTGCCACCACCAGTGTCTAGGCCCCGGGGGATCATGATCTGCACCCAGGCGCAGATCTCTTCAGAGCACGCCCACAGCCGGGGCCTAAGCTCCAAACCAATAAACAAACTCAATCCATAAAATAAACAACTCTTAAACGCATCTCGTCTCTTGTAGTCTCTCCAGGTTGAAATGGCGTTGCCTCATAATTTACAAAAAGTTATGTTTTGAATGAATAGTCTGTGAATCTTGTGTGTGTTCAATGTGTTTGTGTATTTATCAACACTTATAGACATTGGTCATCTGCCCCTTTTGGACCAATACCAATATGTTTTCTGTTTTGTTTTTTCTTGTGTTTGAACAGTTTGATTCTCTGATTGTGTAAAGTCCTCCGGGATAACTACAGTTGTGATTTAAGGCACTACAAAAATAAATCAAAATGAATTGAATTGTAGAACTTGAGTTGGGAACTTGGACGGATACTTACTGGAGATAATTGTCCTTGGGTTGATGAGGGGGAAAAAGAACTACACCATATTTCAGAATTTTTATAATCACAAGACACACTCAACACTTAGCCTAATATCAAGACTTTTGTATATAGAGACAATAAAAGAGTTGAGATTAAAGCCAACCTTGAGTCTTGGAAACTCAACGTCTGACCTTAAATTACTTTCACATAAAGAAGGTTTCATTTCCCTGTTAAATCGAGGCATGAGCCAAATCCAATTGTTTTGTCAAATTTCTCCCTGGCCTGACCTTTTGGCGGAGTTAAGTAATGAATACGAATAAGATCTGAAACCTTTATACCCCAATGCACCTCAATGTGAACCAAATTAATTCAGTCTTGTGTTTACCAGGGCAGACCTAGTATATATATTACACATATATTCTTCTAATTCTCTCCTTAGGCTTGTATTAACACTCTACAAAACGGCTTTCTCAGTAATTATAGCCTGGAACAATATAGTTGTTATTCGCTGGTTTACTGTCATTTACTGCTAATCCTTTGTCCACTTCTGCCTTTGTGGCTAAAGAGAGGAGCAAATACATGAACATAATGACAAACTAAAGTCTGCATTTTGAACATTCAGTACTGCTCTCTTGCTCCTGGGGCCTGGGGTCGCAGAGGCAAAAGTCTGGGCAGAGATGCAGAGACCGTCCCTATCAAAGCACCCTTACTGCAGCTTTTTGAATGTTCTCAAAGCCAAAGTAGGCAGTGGCGGCCGGCCAATAGAGGGCGCTAGGGCGCCGCCCCACCACTCACAACTTGCCATGTTACCTTGAATAAAACGTTAAAAAAAATAATAACATTAAAATATTTCGAAATTTATGTGTGTTTTATTTCAGATGTGGAAGAAATACTTTATAGTTTATGCTGAGTTGGATTGATTAAGCTCATCAGCGTTGTCTGTGTCGGACTGAGGACGTATTTCCGCCTCAGGGCGCAAAAGATTGCGCCCTGAGCCGTGTATGGACTCTCGTTAAAAGTTGTACATGCGCAGTAGCTCCTCTTCAATGCAAGAGATAAGACGATTTGGGGGCGCAGGAGAAGTGCGCCCTGAGGGGGCGGGATCGCCCGCGACCTGTACTGTCACTGTCTGTGACGTCCGTTTACAGTGATTGACAGGTCAAGCTGTGGGAGTTTGAGACGAACGTAAAGAGACGCAAAATGGAGAACGAGAAAAAATTCAGTTAGATCACTCAAAACAATACCGTTTGAGAGAAGATCATACCAGGAGAAGGTTGAGGTTAAAGAGCTTGGACCTGATCAGCCAAATATTACCATTAGTCAGCAGTCCAGCGACAGAGGGAGACGGTACACTCGTACTTTTTCCAGGACCTGGTTCAGCGCCAAATCTTGGCTAGCAGCATGTAGCGAGGCTAATGCTTTATTTTGCTTTCCATGCCTCTTGTTTCAAACATCAGGATCTGACCCAGCATGGATCAAGACAGGTATGACTGATCTGAAGCACTTTTTAGAAAAGGCAAAGAAGCATGAGCAGACTGGTATCCACATGCAAAATGCCCTCAAATTAGCTATGTTTGGGAAGATAAATATTTCATTCTCGTGTGAGGCTTCAGTCACAACAGTCAGTGTAAACTTACTTACTGCTGGTATATATCTAGTCATCATATTCATAGCCCCCCCAGTAGAAAATTCCACCAGCCGCCACTGAAAGTAGGGTTGTTGAAAATGGGGCAACATATTTTGTGTTCAGAGAGAATAGGTTGTCCACATCATACTCTCAAACAGGTGGTGAAGTGTCTGGTCCAGAATCAGTTTCCATCAACTAAACATACATCAAAAAGAGTGCAGCTTTGTGGTCAAAACAATCCGGAAACTTTTGCAATCAATAAGAATATAGCCACCGTGTGAGTCTTAAAAAACCAATATGCGTTTGTTGTGTTATACGGATAAACCATAGACTGTATATAGATGGACCATGCCAACCTCTGAGCTCAATGAAGCCCAATCAGGAAGTTTAGATCCAACTTACATTGATAAGTAAACTCCTCTTAGTTCAGTAACTATTTTTATCACCATTTTGGGCTTTAAAATATTTATTTAATACTTAATATTTAATACTTTCTATGATCGTGCTGTTTATAGCCTTCATTTATGAGGGAAAGTCAAGCTTGCCTTAGC